ATTTAATTCGGGTATCCTGTATATCAAACGTAAAGTTGGAGCTTGTTCCTACGTGGATGATCCCATAGGACGCCAGTCCCTGCTTTCAAGAGCAATGCACAAGGTTACTAAAATTAATTAATTCAAACATTATGTTTTTTTTTTCACTAAAACTAAATTTGCATAATAAAACAGGTGTTTGGTTTGGGGAGCTTGAGAGGCTGTAGTAGCAGTAATAATGATGATGATGAAGCTGCAGTAAGTGTTAATCAGTTGGTGAGTACCTTCTCATCGGATCCAAGTTTGATTGCTTTTGGTGCTCTCTGCTCTGATCATTCATGGAACATCAAGTACGTAATATAATACACCCTGTGCATTTTCTTTCACATACTCTCAACAAATTAATAAATAAAAAAAAACCATGATCTTTGCAGATCGGATACTGATTTCCAAGAGTTTTGCTTGCAAGTGCTATTTGAGTGTGTGAGTAAAGACAGGCCAGCACTTTTACAGGTCTACTTGTCATTGTACACAACCGTTGCATCTATGGCAGATGAAGTTACAAGTGGCATACCACCGCTTCTAAACGATTCTCAATTTCTCCCCAGTTTGAAGGTAATAAATAACAGATAAATCTCTCTCTTTTTGTTTTTTCTTTCAAGTTAAATGAAGTTTTTTGTGCATTAAATTCAGCTTGCACTAGCATACAATGATGCTCTGGTGAAGGGAAGATTCATGAGTTCAAGGGGCAGTATTGTCCAATCGACATTTCTAGGTTCCCTTAATAAACGTGTACAAGAGCTTCTAGCATATTCCCCATGCTTAAGAAGCAACACAATACTCAATGATTACTTTAGAACAGGGAAATGGTCACAGGATGATAACATCTCCACACTTGTTTCATGGTATCTCCAGTGGTATAACGTGCCACCACCCTCACTAATCCAAGCAGGTTTCAAGAAATTAAAGCCTATACACTCACAGACACAGACACCGTCTACAATCCCATTATTACGTTTATTATTTCCAGGTACCCATATCAATGCCATTAATGAAATCCATAAATTTATGCTCTCTGATAGATGATGAACCTAGCTACCTGATTATAATGCATGTTGTATCATTGTCACATGGAACATCTTAATTTGAGCTGTCATAGTTGCACACAATTTTGTATAAGTGAACTAAATGAACCTACCGAGTTTAATTATTTCTAAAAGGTGTGTTGTGTGTATAAGTGAACTACTTTAGTGACTATAGTTTTAGATGTGTGTATAGTATATACGATTTTCTTTTAAAGTTACTTTGATATGCTTACATACTAAAACCTATACAATGCTATTGGGTTTAAAATCTCAATTTCAAAACTTGAGACAACTTTTTCTGAATAGTCCTAATAAAAGCTACTTCCACTTTCAGCTAATTTTCACAAAGATACCCAAAAAAAGTAGGTCAATCTATTCTCTTAAAAGAGAGGTTACTATATTATATAGTTGTCTTTTGTGTTGTTAACGCTTGCAAAGCCCGTTGGTGGAAAAATGCTCTATTTTACTTTTATTATTCTCCTTTTTCCTTTTAAAAAGTACATGTTATTCTGAATAGCGTATTCGATTTTCACTAATTGTATGTATTTTTCGAGACTAAATTCCAAGACTTTTATTGTTACGTACCTTAGAGTATCAATCAATATTATTAATTTTCACCCAAAATTTAGAATATAAATAAGTAATAAAAACAATGTATTTTACATGGTTGTTAATTAAATTAAGGAGGGGGGAATTGGGTATTGCCGTAAAACTAGTGAGGCTCGATAGTAGAGCCGTTGGTATAGTGGACGTTGTACATATCTAATAACATGAGTGTGAAGAAGTTTTTAAAAACTGAAATTATTAAAATCCTTTTGAGGTCATCAATATCAATAGAGCAACTTTACATGTGTTATACCTGGGTGGATCTTCATACTATTATTAGTGCTTTTGCATTTAAACACTCTTTAAAAGTATTTTCCACGAACAATTATTTTGTGTATTATTGGAAACTTTTGGATGGCTTATTTGTATTAATGATTCATTTTGCATCTAGCTTGTTAATTAAGTAACATATGATCATGCATGCAGACCATAAGTTATAACAGGTAACATATGCTTTTTATGGGTTGAATTTTTGCTAAGACATTTGTAGGTTTTAGTATTTTGAAAATTAATGAAAGTTTACGAACATCCTTTTGATAAGAAGCATCTTGTTAATTCCTTATATATATATATATTTAACTTGATGAAGAGCAACAAATTAAGTTCCTTGTCTCATTCTGTTAATTAAGACTTATTATTTTATATATACCTAACGAATTCATTAACTCGAAACTTGCATGTATTCACTACTTACGTACAGAACATATTGTCATGTTTGTTATATTTAATTTTTATTTTATTATTATTATTATTATTATTTTTAACTTAAAGAATTTTATGTTTGGATACATGTTTGTAATTTTCTTTGTCTTAAAAAAAATTGTTATCATGATACAAATTTCTTAATATGCTGCATATATAGGGGCTCAGCATGCTTGTCCTCCTTGCTAGATTTCATAATTTATATTTCTTCCGTCCCAAATTATCCACAGACAAAAAACATACAGATTAAGAAAATATTAATTACAACTAACTTTATTAAATCAATTGAGAGTTGTACTTTTTTGTTGTATTTAATTCTATTATTTTGTTGCATTTAATTCTATTGTAGGTTAACTAATAATAAGAGGTATTTTGGTAAAAGATATATATTTTTAGAAGATTATTATTTTGGGACAAACAAAAAAGAAAACATGAATTATTAATCAGGAACAAATGAAGTATTAATCAGATGGATCAATGTGTTAAATCATTTACATTTTACAATAACTAATTAAGGTCATTTTATATATTCTCTTAGCTAGAAAGGTGGAACATATATATGCTCTATACTTACTTTTATTATTCCCTTTCCTTTCCAAAAACAAGTGTTTGAATACTAATTCCAATATCATCTAATTTATATATATATATATATATATATATATATATATATATATATATATATATATATAATATATATATATATATATTTCTTAAACCAACAAACATTGTTTTCCCAAAAAATTAAAAAGAGAAATTAAATATCTTCCTACACATATCATAGTATCCTAAAATATCATTAAATCTCATTAAATAAGCATTAAATATTACACATGTCACAATTTCATTGGGTAGGAGGATATGTAGGAACAAAAAGTAGGAGGGTATTTAATTTCTCAATTAAAAATGAAGTACGAAAAAGTATATCAACATATCAATCAATTATTACTCAGTTGAGTTTTATAATATATTACGCTAAAATCATCATGCGCAAAATATAATGTTTTCAATCCGCTTGAACATGCCATGCCATGCATGAGAAGTTGGCATTTGGCAAAGCAAAATAAGCAAACGAGATTTGAAATTTGTATTTGGCTTCTGTTTACGAATTGCTGGGGAACTGAATATTTCATCCCCACCAACAAGACATGGAAGCTTCAACGTCGCTCATCAACAAAACAACAAACGTTAATTGAATTCAGATCGATGAGATCACAAACTGAAACCAATGAAAATTAAACATAAATCAATAAAAAATAAACATTTAAAAGATATATATATATATATAGAGAGAGAGGTACATGTATATGAACGATTGAAACTATGATGCATGGATGTATATATAGAGATGAAGAATGGCTTAGGGTTTTGATCCAAAGGCCCTGATTTGTCTCTCATTGTGGGGATGAGCCATTGCTGAGGTGCCACGTTCCATTCATACTAATGTTTCCACTTTTTAAAGGTAGATTTTAGATTCGTAATCTAATTAATTAATATATGGAGAATAAGTTCAATTGTCAAATACTCTTTATAATCATTATAAATTTTGTAACTTAAATGTTAATCTAGGAACGTTGACTACATAATGATGTAATTGTATATATATTTCCTATATTTCAAGTAGTTATTAATTAGATTTCCTAATAAAATGATTGTACTAGTTTTGTGTTGCAAAACTCGTACAAAAAGATACACAACCACCTCTCACAATTCACAAATGATGCCGTTATATCTTTAAATTTTGATATATCTATACTTTCATTGCCCCAAAACATTTTTTTTTAATTGACAAAATATGCAGCATAAATCATTATAGATTTAACGTTGTTTGATGATATCGATATTCGTCGCTTCACACATGGATCATCAACATTAATTAATTATCAAATAATAAAGGTAACAGATGCTGCACGGGTTTCGAAATTTATTTTTGTTTTTCAGTTTTGCAAACTTCGCCTAAATCTCATATATTAGTTTTCGTTTAAGAAATCGAAAATTTAAAATTGATTCCAAGAATAGAATGGTACATCAGATTTTTTATAACAAATGACACATATTTTAAACATGATTGGTAGCCCTCTTATTTGGCGTTTGTATAAAAAGAGTGACATATATGTTATTGGTTTTTATATAATTAAACAAAAAAAATCCACATATAATATACAAATTTAAAACGAAATATCTAAAATAACAAGTACGTGAACACTTTTATGAGCCACTTGCGATTGAACCAACGCACACTAAAAGATGGCCTAACACAATCCTACTTACAATTTTCGTTTTCTTTTATTCCACCTTTCAACATTTCATTGTACATTCAGGACAATTTTGCATCTGTTATCAAATGTCTAACACAAAATTTTTTTTAACAAAAAATAAAATAAAATAAAATACATGAATATAAAATTTGTCCTCTCCTTAGGTACAAGGTATGCGAAAGACAATATCATTTTTTAAATTCCTACAAGAACCGTAAATAAAACCATATTGATCAGAGTTTACACTTCATCGGTCAAGAGCGAGAAATAATACGTGTATAAAGAAATTCGTTCCACGTGTCAGGCAACCCAGGAAGACACCAATGTATACAATCTGCATAAGTATTCGGGTCTGCCTTTTGCTCATCTGTTAACATCTTGCCTTGGCGAATAGTGTACACGGAAGTGTGTGCATCTTTTCTGTATTCTGAAAGAGAAGTTATATTGAGAAAGTGGACCGGGAGTTTCATTGACCCGATCACATCTGTTGCGACCCTAAAGAGTCGTCTGTCAGTGCCTACCTCTACGGGCATGGACATGTTAAGGATTGGACTAGTCTCCTTTGCGCATTTGATGCCATCGGGATTGTTCCAGTCCAAGCTCCTACAAAATTTCAGTCATTTACAAACCATTAATTGTCATATTTTTGGTTAGCAAAAAAAAGTTTTAAAACATGTATTTTAAATAATTTTAATTGTTAACTAATTGTATAATATTATGTAATAACTCTTAATTTTTTTTATTGACAATAGGTATTTGATTAATACAACTTTTGGTTTACTTGATAGCCAATCGTACCCAAAAGTCACGTCTACTTTCAACAAATATCCTTTTGGTTAGTTGAAATGCATCTATTTCACCTAATACATATATTTTATGGATACTGGGATTTCTTAAATTTATTTTATTATTGTCATTTTTTATATACGGAAATTAAGTATGAAATTTTACTTGATATGTAGAGGAGACATGCTACTGAAAAAAACCGTTGTACGATTCGTGTCGATATTTTTATCAACCCATTTAGCCCATGTCTTCAACACTCTTGCATATGCCACGGGTCTTTCAACCTCATCGTATTCTGTCGCTCCTTTGTCAAATGATCCACGCCTATATTATTAATTTTCATCAAAAACTTATATAAAAGTTCAATAAATTTATTATTTAAATGAAAAATAAAGAATTTAAAAAAGAAACTCACAAGACTTTCATGGAGAAAGTGTTCATCCACCAAATGTAGGTGTTGAAGACCAAATAATCGACATTTTTCCAGTTTTTACCATGTTTCTTTATGGATCCGGGCATTATGATTCTGTTCAATATACTATGCATGTTTGGATCATCCGAATTCGACTCTACCAAAAATGGAGCCCAGTAAAATTCCACGGTCGCATTATAATCCTGCATAATATATAATAGCATCAACTTATTAATTTTTAAAAACTAATTAAAATAAAGTATTAATAGTTTTTGGCCATACACCCTCAAAAATGAACACATGTTGTTTCTTCCTTTGGCTTTATTTCATATAAAATTAATGTCTTATGTCGTCCATCATAATATTTGTTATAATCCATGCATCAATGTGCACGGATGCAATATAAATATACCATATTAATGTTATGTTTTTCTGTCAAATTAAAGTTATTATGATTTTATTAAGAGTAACACTTATATATGTATACATAACAATTTCTGAAACGACTATTATGCATATAATTACTTCTATAACGCGAAAACAAGATATGAAACGACTATTATGTATATAATTACTTCTACAAACGTGAAAACAAGATATGAAAAGAAAGAAACCTCAATTCTGAAAATGGAAAGAGAACCGGTTTTGTTCAAGCTCTTTCTTCCCGGAGGAATAATGGATTGAGCCAAACACACCATTGATTCCCACTGATTTCTATTCAGTGAATCACCAACGAACATAAGCCTCTTGTTCCTCAGTTTTTCCAGCAATAATTTTGCCCTAAACCTTCATTAACAAACGATTATCAACATCAATCCTGCAAATTTTTATGGTTTTTGATATAAGTAATCAAAGATCTTACTTGGGTAAGTTGCAATCTTTGGGTTGCCATCTCCAGTTTTGATACATCGAATCTTTTCTCCCGTTTCTCATACATGTCACCTGAGCAGTAAGAAATTCACACTGATCTTCTTTATATAATGGGTGTGTCGAATCATCATAAACCCAATTCCCATTATACAGATCACATTCTTCAGGTGGCAATTCGATATCCTCATCTTCTTCCGGTTCTTCCTCCACCGCAACTGCCACCGGAACCGGCAACTCAATCACCTGATCCTCCTCTGTTTTTGACTCCACCACTAAAGTCGTTCTGGAAGTGATCTCAACCACCCCATCAACGTTAGATTTCTGAAGAGCGTTTTGGTGGGTTACGAATTTGGGCCTGGAGAATGGGAATTCGGCTATGGATTTGACGTCTTCATTGTACATGAAGAATCCGAATAGGAAAACAGAGAAGACGACGACGAAGACAGAGAGGTTGTTGTTTTTGCGGTGTTTCATGGCGGTGGTGTAGGAGGAGAAGAGGGAGACTTTCCGGCGAAGGGGATGCATGGGAGGAGGAGATGGTATACGAGAGAGAGACGGTGGTGGTGGTGGTGATATAATGATGAGAAACACATAGAGACATTGAAAATGGAGGATTTGTTTAAGGACAGATTTGGTGAAATGGGATTGTCTTCAAGTAACTGCTTTCTATGGTGGATAAAGGGTCGTCTTCTTCAACAATACTTTATTTAATTTTCTGCGTAAAAATCCCATTTTGTTAACTAATTTCTTCAACCTCTTTGCTTTGACACCCTGTTTTTTGAGAAGAGTGAGAAAAAAGTTTTGCAGAAGTTCGGTGGCTTCGCTCCCTTTCAATTCCGGTAATGAAAACTGAAATATGTGTGTGTGTGTTGTGGGGTTGGGGTGCACTTTTTAAAGATTATTATAAAAAAAAAATGAATATTGAAATTTTAAACTATATAATATGTGAGAGTCAGTCGATTGCTTTGCATTCTATTTTTATGTTTTTGATAGAACGTTGTATTTGCAATTTAAATCTCTGTAACTGTAAAAACGTTTTTTAACGGTAGAAAGTAAATTAAGAAACTTATTATTAAAACTGTTAAAAATAACAATCTAACAAACATAACACATATTTTAACATATTTGTTTTTCCTTAAACATATCCAAAAATAAAATAATAATCGTTAGGTGATCTAACACAAGCCTCATCCATTGACATGATGTATAAATAATTTGTCATTTTCTTTTTTGATTTTGTTCAACTTTTTTATTTTTTATATTTTACATTGTAATAATAATGTTGGTTATGTTTGTTGACGATAAATTAGTAATTGTTAAATTGGCAACATCTTGTGTAAATATCGTTCTTTAAAGTATGTTGCTGTATTGAGTACTTGATAACATCCAAGACATAGATATTGAACTTTTTATGATAAGTTATTATAAAAAACAGTAATGTTTCAATTTTTTACGAGTAAGTTAAGGAATATTGTCATATAATGTTTGGTGTGTATTTAAAAAGGATTGACGAGTTTAAGGTTGGAGAGGACAAGTTTGAGGTTTGTAGTCAATTTAACTAAGGTGTCAATTTAGATATTGGTATAGTGTGGGTGAGAAGAGTAAAGGCAAAGGCACACTTATCTAATAGAATTTGACTCCAAGGATTTCTTATTTTTCTTCGAGTATATATCAACGGATTGATTTTGGATGCCTTATTTTCAAAGCTAAGAAAACTAAATCTTTATTATTATGGGAAAGCTAAAACACAAATCATATCGCTCTTGGTGTATTCCTCATTAAATGTTGTTATTTTGGGAAAGAGACGGATCTAGAGTTATGAGATTATAGTAGGTGTCTTCGGTTAGCACTCCGTAATGCACTCATGGAAATGTTTTTCTGGATTTGGGGACAATTATTTTTGTGATATATTACAATTACCCAATGGATCATTAATATAGTGTCTCCATAGAAATACTTCAAAACTCATATTTCAAAGCATAAATGTTTACGTTTTATATATTAATGTATGTATCCATGTACCTATTATTTAGTGAACGGAAACTGATTCGTACATAATAGTTTTTCTCTATATAAAACAATTTATGTTATAACATGTTATACTGCAACCACATAAAATATAGTAAATTGTTATATAGAGAAAAACTATTAACCATGAATCAATTTTTTTTGAAAGTACTTGAAACCAAAAATTCTAGAATATATTGTAAGATTGCAACAAAAGAAAAAATGATTTGTTTAAAACGGGTTTACCATTGATCAAAAAAGTTATTAAGCGCCTCTAAAGACTGAAAGCAAAGTCAAAAACTTTTAAGCCCCAAGTTCGTGCAGTACTTTATAGGCCGAAGCTCAACCCAATATGTAATATAAGTACTTATTTTTTTGACAAAACTGCAAGATTGGTACTGTGATATTTTTTGGATAGAATCCAAAAAAATTCCAACTTTCATGGAAGATCAAAAATCAATATTTTTATGGGTTTTTGGTCTCTGATAGATTTGAAAAATCGATTTTACCATTTTCATTTCTTTTTTATGTTTTCTTTATTTATTTTGGTATTTAAATAATTAAGAATACAACATAAAAAATAAAATCTCACCCAACCCTTCTCTCTCTCTATCTCTCTCTCAAATTCGAGCATAATTTCTTTTGTCGTTTCATTGTTCGTTCTCTTTCGCATTTCTATACATCCGTTTCTCGGGTAAACTTGATGCATAAGCCCGATTGTTTGGAGGTTTTGATGGAGTTGTTACAGAGTATAATCATGCATATGTGTGCTGTATACAAAATTATGAAGGTGTTTTCTGAATGTATCGACCTTTAATTCATCAATTTCTGCTCCTGTCACCGTAGTTGCTTATCATCGTTCATCGGATTTCATAGGCTCTTGGATCATCAGATAAGCTCATTGTTTAACTAAAACAATCTAATCACTTTCTCTGGCTATGATTTATCAATTTTTGTGTTTATTTCATTCAATTGGATATCGATAAATGGTCTTAAATATGTTAACGATTCCCTGTGTTGAATCGATTTTGGATTATCACAAGTGGAAGATTATTTTGATATTTTTTTGGGTTTGTCGATGGGGCTATGACCAAATACCAGGGTTTCTATGGCTGTTGCTTTAATGATTATTGATTTCGTAATACCGTCAGGTTATTGATTGCAGCTTCATATAGACTGATGATTATCGGCACTTGGTCAAAAGAATTTGGTGTTGCGATGAGTAAATTTTTTGAACACATAAATGATTTTTATTTCGTTTGAGATGCAGATTTGCAAAGCTATTTAAATACCAAAATAAATAAAGAAAATAGAAGAAATAAATGAAAAAGACAAAATTGACTTTTCAGTGTATCATCGACCAAAAATTTAGAAAAACGTTGATTTTGGATATTCCATGCAAATTAAAAACTTTTTGTATGCTATTTAAATTTTTTTTGAATATTGTATGAATCAATCTTTCAGTTTTGTTTATTATTACTATTTTTTTAATTTACATTTATTTTAAATCTTTTTAAAACGAACAAATAAACTCACACATCGAATCATCTGAATGTTTCAAAACTAGTAGAATATATATATATATATATATAAAATGTACTTTTTTATTGATCGAATCATCTTATATATGAATAAAAAACAGCTCGGATTTTATGAAACGACATTACAGTCGATAAAAACCCAAAAAACTGACTTTTGTCATCCAATTTAATTTGCTGAGGTGGAATTTTTATTCCACTTTAAATTGAAACCATCGCAGCCCCTTTATACTCACCGTTGATCCTCATCGACATATAATATCCTAACAACAGGTTCCATCCCTACCCTCCCTTTCTCTTCGTTCTGATCGTCCCCCTTTCCACCGTTCTATTTGCCTCTACCAGTCTACCACGTCCAGAACTACCCAACCCCCTCCATATATATATATATAATAACTTCATAGATAAGTTAATTGTAATTTCATCATTATCATTACTGATGATACTCTTGCTATGCCACCGACATGTACTAGCCAATTGATTAATTAATAAATATACACGCGATCCGAGGTGGTGTTTTACATCTGTACATGCATGCAAGATGTATGACCAGCTCGCAACGTGTCTTCTTCTTCAACACAGAAACAGTCAACAAACAATTCTTGATCGGGCTTATATACATACCAGCTGATTATCTTCACAATTAATTCAAATTAATCAAACCTTAATTTGATAATTTCCATGCGTGCATGGAATATTCAGCAAGATCTCAAACAGAA